AAGACAGCGTAGAACGTTAGGTAAGCTTAGGGCTATTAGTTTATTAGTATAAGATCTTGCTAAGCGTTATAAAGGAAAAATTCTTGTATAGATTATATATATTAGGACATAGCTATACCTAGAGGAGCACTACTAGCACTAAGTCCCCCTACTAGAAGAGTTATAGCACTTGCTATTAGACTTGTTAAAGAGCGCTAAGCGCAGACAATTTAGATAAGTTTTAGCATGATAAATGCTAGGCTCTCTGCAGCAGGAGGATCTTAGGGTCTCCTTAGGAGCTAGAGAGGGAGCAGGAGCGGGGACAGGGGACAGGGTCTAGGGAGGAGCGGGAGCTAGAGTTAGAGCTAGAGTAGTAGGAGCTAGAGCAGGAGCGCCCTTCCTTAGCTTTGCGATCTTAACTGCAGTAGTAGCAGCTGCGCGCTTAGCTACTGCACACTCTGCAACAGCCTTACGCTTAGTAGTAGCGCGCTCTTCTTTAGTAGTAGTGGCTTTAGTAACTGTAGCTTTAGCTACGCAGGAGGTAATAAGGGCAGCGCAGGCAGAGCGAGCGTAAGTAGTAGTTTTTAACTTTAACTAAGACACAGGTTAGTAGGGATATAGGTATAGTTTAGATCTTTAAAGTTACACAATCTTATAATACAGGCTATAGTAAAGATTATAGTTAGGTAGATAGAGTTATAGAGCTAAGTCTAGGCAATATCTACGCGCGCAAGCGTAGGCTAAACAAGGAAGGCGCGCTAGTTAGTATCTAAAGGGTAAGCTAATTTAACCCTTTAGATATACAACGCTCTAATTAGCTATACTACCTACTAACTATAAGCGTAACTATAATAATAAAAGATCTACCTATACCTAGGGGGTGTGTTGCAGGAGGGATATTAACTAGATTACAGAGCATCTTAATCTAATTAATCCTAATTAATACCCCTATATAACCTACTATCTAATTAACTGCTAGCTTACTGCTAAGCGCCTAACAAAAAGCAGGAGCTCTAGTAAGGAAGGTTTACTAATCATTTACCTTCTAGTAAGGGTAGCTGAAGCTCTATATATATAAGTCCGATCGTAGTAGATACAATCCAATAATCTATCTCCCAAATCATTCCTAACCTTAGTAATCCAATTTTCCACATATAGTTATATATTTATAATATAGATAATAGGGATAGTAGTAGTAATAAAGGTAAAGGATATATAATTTAGGTTATATTAGGAATTCTATAAGGCTATAGAATACCTAAATATACTAAACCTATTATAGGTATTTACTAATAGTAAATTAGTACTACCTTAACTAGAAAACTTTTTATATATAATATACTAATAATCCAAATCTATATATTAAGTACTATCTTCTAGGGAATCCCTAATTACTAAGCTACTTAAACTTATTTATTCTAACTTGTCTAGGAAGATACCTACTAAAAGTATTAGTAGTTCCTAGTACTATATCTCCTTTATAGACAACTATATAAGATATTTATAGATTTATTTCCTAAAGCTTAAGGTAGATACCCTATAAGCTATTAAGGACTTTATTACCTATACTAATACCTAATTCTAACCTAAAGGCTCTAACTTATAATTATTAGTTATTAAAAGGTTTAAATTAGATAATAGAGGGGAATATATTAGCTAAGACCTATAGAAGTTTTTTAAATACCTTAGAATTATTTATTAGCTAGTGCTACTATATTACTATAAGATAAATAGAATTCCTAAGTAATTTAATTGCTCTATTTTCTAAATTACTAGAACTATAATCCCTTTAGATAACCTTTTATTCCTATAGGCTAAAGCTATAGTCCTAGCAAACTTTATTAAAAATATTATGCTACACTCTATAGATAAGCTACTTTACTCCCTATATAAATAGCTCTTTAGGAAGAGGCCCTCTATTTAACGTCTATATTTATTTAGTATCTAAGCTTATATATATATTCCTATAGAGGCCTAAAAACCTAGTATAAAACTCCTATACCACGCTAAGTAATATATCTTTATTAGGTATAGCTAGAGTACTTAGATAAGCTATCTCTATATACTAGAACGCGCTATTATTATAGAGTTATAGGACGTGTTATTTACCCTATTTATTCTAAAGCCCTAGAACTTCTACCTTATCCTAGAGGATAGGATTTATAGTGCTAGGGAATATCCCTTCTAGAATAAAAATATTATAGTACTATAGCTAAAGGAATTACTATCTATATTACCTCCTATTAAAATTCTTAATAAGATAATAGGGGGATAGGATAATATTTTAACTACTCCCTAAACTCTAGGTCTAAGATTAAGAGTAACTAATATATTTAATAACCTTCTTAGCACTCTAGAATATATCTCTACACTACTATAATATAAGATATAGATAGGTAGCCCTACTCCTTGCCCTAGGAAGAATATTAACTATAAGAGTTAGAAGAACCTATAGCCTTAGGATATATTACTATAAACCCTAATAGCAATTATATATATTAGCTACTAGACTAAAAAGCTATTATAATACTAAGGCTATAATATAATAGTAGGCGTATTCTTAACTACCCTAAATAAGGATACTATAGCTAATATATCTATCTTCTCTATAGCATTTACTATATTATAGTATATAGTTAATACCCTATAAATATATATAGAGGTAGTTAGCCTATTATTTACTCTCCTATAGTAGCTAGCTATAGATAAGGAAATTACTAACTATAAAGATAATAGTATATAGGAGATTATGCTACCCTACTAGATACCTTAAGGTATAAAGCTTATAGGTACTAGGTAGGTATTTAATATAAAGCAAAATAAGTTAGGTAAAATTATTAAGAGAAAAGCTAGACTAGTAGTATAAGGATTTTTATAGAGGCTAGGATTTAACTATAATAATATATATTTACTAGTAGTTAGATATAATAGCCTTTATATCCTACTACTACTCTCTATTATCTATAGCTAGAAACTTTGCTAGGTTAATTTTAACGCTGCCTACCTTAATAGGTATCTTAAACACAAGATCTATTACTAACTACTACTAGGACTCTAAGTCCTAGACAAAGCTGCACTTTATCTCTGCAAAACTCTGTATAGTCTTAAGTAATCTAGTAGAGAATAGTATATAGTACTATTAGAATAGCTAAAGAGTTAGGGCTTTATATAATCTAACTTTAACCCTTATATATTTATTTTAGAGCACCTAGTATTAGGGATCTATATAGATAATATCCTTATAGCTAGGATAAATATATAGATTTAGTCTATACTTACCCTTACTACTACTAGATTTTAATTTTGTAATATAGGCAAACCTAAGATACTTATAGGTTTAGAAATAGATATTTATCTAAATAGTTAAAGTATCTAGCTCTATTAGAGGATATACATTAAAGTAGTGCTTTAGTAATATAATATAGTAGACTATAATAGCTAATATACGCCTATTAACCTAAGTTTATTCCTACTATAAACTCTATCTTATATCCTAGTTAATAAGGATAGATAGAAGAAATTCTAATCTATTATTAGTTCTATTAACTTTATAGTAGTTATAAGTTAACTAGATCTAGTATACACTATTAGGCTTCTTAGATCCTATAATATAAACCCTTTAGAGTTACACTTAAAATTAGCGTTTTAGGTATTATAATATATCTAGGTAATATCTAACTATTACCTTAATATTACTATCTATCTAACCTGCTAAAACCTAGCTATAATAATAATATATTCTAACGCCTTATATATATCTAATCTAGATACTAGTAAATCCTTCTCTAGCTATATTCTAAAGATTAATAGCTCTATTATCTCCTAGTCCTCTAAGAGATAGAGCTATATAGCTAAAAGTACCTATAAGGCAGAATATATAGCCACGTTATATACTACTTCCTACCTTATCTAGGCTTACTATACTATTTCTAAACTCCTAGATACCCTAATATACTATCTATTAGTTAATAATAAACTAGCTATATTACTTATTTAAGATTAGAAACTTATATTATAATCTAAATATATCTACGTTTATTACTACTTTATCTAAGAGTAATACCTAGCTAATAATTATACTATCTAATATATTATATTAGTAGAGAACCTAGCTAATATATATACTAAAGCACTACTACGTCTAACGCTAGAGAAACTTAATTAGTTTATCTTAGAGCTTACTATCTAATATAGATATTTTCTTTATATATTTATAATTACTATAGATTTAGGGGACTATTATTTCTATATTAGCTATAGTGCTTACCTTGTATAAGGTGGTGACTGCCTACCACTATTAGCGACTCCCCTATCCCGGGTTGTCCGGGAGACACCTATTTGGGACTAGTGAAGGTATCTATATCTAGCCACCTTGGCTTCCACGTCCATAGATTCTTCAATCAATACTTTCATCACATCACAGCCCAGTCCAGCCCAGCCCGCCTCTCCCGCCGTCCCAGCCGTGCAGCGGAGCGGATACTACGCCAGCCCAGTTGACGAAGCTCCCGCAACGGCCGTGGACGCTACCGGTGCTATATCCAACAAAGCTCCTGTATCAAATGCTCCACGTAAACAAAGAAAAATTCGTGAGTCCGGGGGAAGCACAGTGGCGAGGCAGAGCAGACGGGATGAAGCGTTTGGGCTTTGGGGAGGGGGGGTGCCGCGTGTGGTGTGTGGGTGGATGAGTCGGATGTCGATGCGCGATGGGAGGGTGGAGGTTGGGGTGTTGGATGGGGTGTCGGGATCGGAGGAGGGGTTTAATGTTCCCCGCGTTGAAAGGGGTTGTGGAGGGGGGGCGATTGCTGGGGGGGGTTTTTTTTTGGCAGGATATGTGCAGGGAATGGGGATCGGGATCTGGATGTGCAAAAGGAGAGGAGGTTTGGAGTGTTTGTATGCGTCATCTGGGTTTCTTGGGGGGGTTTACCTGGGGTTGGGAAATGGCAAATGGTGAAAGAGATCTGATGGATAGGGTACGGTAGGGCATGGCAGCTACAATACATCAAACCATCCTTGCGAACCACTCACGCGCTGCTGTCCGTCCTACTACCCATCTCATGACTCTCGATGCTGCGCTTGCTCTTACTCTGCACACCGGGCACATACTCCAACTCCTCGTCCTCGAGATCGGTGTCGAGATACTCTTCGCTCAGCATCTCCGGGTTGAGGGAGAAGGCGCCCTTGGGCACAAACGTGCTCGATAACACGAGCGCACAGAGGACGGTAAACTGCACGCCGGCCACGTTGAAAATGGCCGGCTGGATCTCCTCGTTGTTCCGGTCGGAGACGCGGTCGATGTAGGTGCCGAGGAGGGCAGAGGCAATAGCATAGGTGACAATATAGGAACTGTAGAGAAAGGCCATGACGGCACCGAGAGCCGACACGTTTTGCGTCGTCGACTCGATGCGCGCGAGCGAGGCCTGGATGTAGGCTGCGAGCGAGACATCGCCGGCCGCCCAGCCGAAGCTGATGGGTAGGAAGGTTGCGGCTACGATCCATGCCTGTCCGACGTCGTTCTTCGGGGGGTGCCAGTAGGGTAGGTACCAGACAATCAGGAGCGCCAGTGCATCGAGCCGTAGCCATGGCATGGGCGTATGCACCAGGTTGGTGAACATGAAGACGAACAGCGCGCCCAGCAATTCTCCAAAGTTGGAGCCGCCCACCATGATCTGTGACCAGGCCGAGTTGCCCAAGTATCGACGAGCCACGGCGGGCGCAATCGAATTCTCCAGGTACCGATGGCCGTACAGTGCAATCGCGTATCCGGGAAGCAGCCACACAAACTTTCTGTGCGTAAAGATGATCTTCCCGCCCGTCCACACCGACTCGAAGAAGAGATAGAAGCCGCCCATGACCGCCTTGGCGTACGTCGGCTGGTTGTCCAGCCCGGATGGCCGGCTCTCGGCCGGTATGCCAACGGCTTCGTGGATGAGGAACCAGAGTATCGAGGCGGCGGCGAAGAAGATGGGGGTAATGATGAAGGAGAAGTTGTTGCCAAAATGGGGGATGAGCGCGAGCGCCGTGCAAAACGCGCCCGCCGTGCCCGAGATTTCGTAGAAGATGTGCACGAGCGAGTCCATCCGTCGCAGCTTCTGCACGTTTCCACCCACAAGGTCTCGGGGAATGACACGGCGGATGAGTTCTACCATGCCGTACACTACACCGCATACACAATCTAGCTATCGTGTTGGCTCAAGCTTGCCGTGCAGCGGACCATGCCGGAGGGGTTTCACTTACAAATGGGAATGATGCCGTCCGTATTATAGTTTCCATAGTAGCTAAAGTCCCCCTTTGGATGGTTTCTCGGTACAAACGTGCCCCCCGTTGCTGCGTCCAGAATCAACAAGGTACTGCTCATGAAGCCAAAGATGAGCACGGCACACGCCAGCACATTCTTCGTCGGATACCGCTTGATCAAGGGCGCGATCAAAATACTACCCACGCACTGAAACGCCTGGTTCAGGCCGGTCAGCACGCCAACGCGCTGGAACGTAATGGAGATGTGCCTCTCCTTCTCCAGTTCATCGTAGCGGTTGGTGGCGAGGGCAATGACGGAGCCGTTGAAGGCCTCGAGGCCGAACTTGTACATCATGATGCCGGCGATATAGATGGCAATGTTGCGGCGCTCGGTGGCTGTGTAGATGTCCCATGTTTCGCGGATGACGGTTATGGGGCGGCAGCCCATTGTGCCCTGCCTCTTCCCTTGCTCTTGCTTGTGCTGTCTTGATGCGCGCCCGAAGACGTTGGCTTGCACGCGAAACCGTCCACGGACGAGGCCCAGGAAAGGCTGTTGCAGCAGTCGTCGGAACCCCCTTCCAGACTATAGGAAAAGAGGGCGCCCTGACCTAATCAATGATGACAAGAATCTTGCAATTGACAGTGTTTGTGTGTGTGTGTGTGTGGGTGGGTGTGTGGGTGTGTGTGTGGGTGTGTTGTGTGAAATTACGGGGCCAATAGGAGCAAAAGGCTATTGCATGTGTAGACTCTCTGGTCGAGCTACGCAGGCTCAGGCCAAGAAAGTGGTCAATGAAACACAAACAACATGGGGTGTATTGGTGACGAGGACGCATTTCCATCGCGGTCCGCAATGGTGGCAGAAGATGCGGCGGCGCATTGCAGAGGCAATGGCCAAGGTTGTGCCAGCCTTGATCTGGAGACGCGGCCTTGTGCGTGTGCACCCACCAGTGAGGGTTGAGAAATGCGCCACGGGTGGTTGGGGTTCGTGACCGGTACCGAGAGCGGACGGTTCGCTTCACCAGGAAGAGGATCCCTAGAGGGCGAACGACTTGGCTAGCATAGGCAGCCTTGCCAGTTGCTTGGAGATCATCCGTGATCAACAAAGCATGTACTTGTTGTGGTTGTCGCTGTTCCTCTTGGTTGAACTGTCCATCGCCTCTTCTCCATCCCTAGTCGTTCGGACAACCTGCCCACACCCATCTGCGCCCACGCTCAGCCAAGGTAACAGGAGACTCCTGCCCAGCACCATGGGAATCCAAAACAGTCTGATCCACCTCCCAGCCATCTCACACGGGTTCCTGCATCGAGCTCTCACGATATACATTAGCCGGATATTACACTTGCATGTACCGTAGACTATAGATGGTTGATTTCGCGACTAGGCTAGCAAGGCAAACAGCAGATATGTCTTCTTCGCATAGTCTGCTGCATATTTCCCAAGTCTGGTCAGCGCTGTCTCATCCAATGTGGCCACGTCTACTGCCGCGCTCAACAGTTTGGCAACATCCTCCCCGTCTTCGCTTGTTGTGGTGAAGCGTTGAAGATACAGTGCGTCAAACAGCAGCTGCTTGAGCCTCCCCTCCTTCGCCTCCTTTTCTGATGATGACAATGAAGAACAAGGCAATGTAACCTCAGGTTCCTTGGACTCAGTCTTGCCCACGTCTGGCCCATCCTTTGATTCCTCCGTCTCATTAGTTTCTGTCTGAACCTCCTCGGTTGAGCTGAGCTTCATGACAGTGTCAACATGCTGCACAAACACCTTCTTCACTTCCTTGCACACTTGTTCTTTGAGCACCAGGACGCAACCAGGAGCCCAGACATCGTTTCCCAAGGCTGCCATGCTCTTATTCAGTTCCCTCAGAAACCTAAAGGTGGTTGGCGACGGCTGACTCGGCAACGGCGGCTGACCTTCCCATAATATATGGCTGTTCGTCTTGATCTTTACCGACGCAGCTAGTGACTTCTCATACGACTGTATGCTCGGGTGAACAACATACATGGCGAGCGCCATGTACAACGGCTGCACTATCTGGGTTGTAAAAGGCGATGCGAGTGCCGTCGATCGTTCCTGTAGACGAAGTCTGGGTATGCGATCGTCTATCTCTCTGACCACACGGAGCATAAAGCTAGCCTTTCGAATGAAATCCCCATTGTCCGTGTTGGCTGCCCCCACAATCTTGGAGAAGCTCTGACCGAGGTTCTGTAGCGCATCGCTCATAGCTCCCTGCGTTACTTCTTCTAGTACTTTCGGATCATCATCGCTGAGGAGCGTCTGCTTTGACTCGCCTAGCTCGTCATCAGAGTCATCGTCGACATCATCTGCGAATGTGTCGTCCCAACGTGCCTCTTTCATGCTTTTGACAATACCCTTGACCTCTAGCCCAGACTCCATCCACTTATCAAATGCAGACGTGACACTTGTGACGGGCTCATCGCGTCCGTGGTATGTATCAAGGACAGTTGCTTTAAATGTTTTGGCCCCATCGCTCAGATCAGACGCTTGGCTTGCAGTGTGCCATAACGAAGCATTCGTCGCGCTGTGCGATTGCAAGTTCTCGAGCTGATGAGTGAGCTTCTTCGCAACACTCTGCAGTCCTTGCGAGCGGGTGCGCACTATACTTTCGAGCTTCTCGTTCATCGTGTCTCTCAGATCGTCAAGCACATTGGTAGACTTGACGCCTGCCATACGCGATCCTGACAATATCCACGTCTCAATCAACTCTGACACTATTCCCTGTCCAGAGGTGTTGTCTCC